ATTATATATTATACTGACTGATTATAATCCATTATGTATTATACTTAGTAATGATATTAGTAATATAATTTAGTAATATATTCCATTACATATTATACTGAGTGATTATAATCCCATTATACATTATACTGAGTGATTATAATCATATTATAAATTATACTGACTGATTTTAATCCATTATATATTATATTTACTGATTACAATCCATTATAGATATATGTTATGCTTAGTGTTTATAATTCTCTATATAAATAATATAAAATATAATAAAGCCAGTGACACTTTCTATGATGTAAATAAAATATGTCCTTCGAGCCGGAATTGAACCAGCGACCTAAGGATATCTGAGGTTTTCTCCTCTACAGTCCTCCGCTCTACCAGCTGAGCTATCGAAGGAACGACATAGAGAACGCTCGGTTTCTCAGTGAAATACGGCTCCATGTCTTGTTTGATTTGTTTATTCATTTATTAATTCATTTATTTTTTATAATCCATAGCAGGGAGTGTGGCTGAAAGTAGTTACTTACAGTTTACTTATTTAGTTTATAATAATTTATAATATATAATTTCCACCTGCTGTCTATCCCATTTGCACAACAGCATGTGAAATGGATTGTCACTCAGTGTTGCTTCCTAAGTGGACAGTTTGATTTCACAGAAGTGTGATTGACTTGGAGTTACATTGTGTTGTTTAAGTGTTACCTTTTTTTTTTTTTTTGCAGTGTATATTATACTGAGTGATTATAATGTGACTCTCTATCCCATGGGTCGTCAACCTGGTCCCTACCGCCCACTAGTGGGCGTTTTAGGATTCCAGGTGGGCGGTAGGGATTTCTGAGGCTAAATCCTCTTTTTAAGAGGATTTCTCCTTTTGGGCGGGCGCGAGCGGCTCTGCATGCGCAAGTCTTCAGTGACCGGCAGGAGGAAGCGCTCCCTCCTGCCAGGCCACCTTCTGGACCCCCGGCATGGCAGCGTTCTAATCAGTCGCGGCGAGGGAGCTCTAACCTCTCTGCTCTGCTCCCTCGCGCGATGTTTGCTGATGCCGCGGGAGCCGGAATATGATGTCATATTCCGGCTCCCGGCATCCGTAGACAGTCCGCGAGGGAGCAGAGCAGAGAGGTTAGAGCTCCCTCGCTGCGTCTGATTAGCCGCCCGCCTAAGTGAAGCCCCACTGGACCCCAGGGACAGATCCACACCAGCTCTCCAGGTAGGGAGGCTGGGTGGATATTTAATATTAATAATTTGTGTGTACATGTGTTTGTCTGTAAGTGTATGTGTGTGTGTCTGTAAGTGTATGTGTGTGTGTCTGTAAGTGTATGTGTGTGTCTGTGTCTGTAAGTGTATGTGTGTGTCTGTGTCTGTAAGTGTATGTGTCTGTCTGTAAGTGTATGTGTCTGTCTGTAAGTGTATGTGTGTGTGTCAGTAAGTGTGTGTGTGTCTGTGGGTCTGTCTGTGCATGTGTGAGTGTCTGTAAGTGCATGTGTGAGTATGTGTATATTTGTGTGTATGTGTTTCAATGTGAGTGTGTGTGTGTGTGTGTATGTGTTTGCCTGTGAGCAGAGTACTTGTAGAATAGAAGAAAGAAGGTGCAGAGTACTTGTAGAATAGGAAGAAAGAAGGAGTAGAGTACTTCTAGTATAGGGGAAAGAAGGAGTAGAGTACTTCTAGTATAGGGGAAAGAAGGAGTAGAGTACTTCTAGTATAGGGGAAAGAAGGAGTAGAGTACTTCTAGTATAGAGGAAAGAAGGAGTAGAGTACTTGTAAAAAAGGAGAAGGAAAGAAAAGGAAAAGGAGAGAATTGTTGTTGACTAATAATAGTAAGTGGGCTACCTAGCTCAGCCTTCCTATTGGGCATTGCTATAAGGAAGGTTAAAAAATAGAAAAAAGGGGAAAAAGGTGGGAAGGGGAATTGAGGAGGGAGAGGAGGGGAGCTGACGCACAGATGAGAAATCATTTTATGAGCAAACAAAGAAGTCTTCCGATTATCACTGAAAGAGGAGACCTTCGTTTGTTCCTTATGAAAATCGAACCAGATATCAAATATTTAGTCTCGCAGCATCAACCTCAAGGATCTCATTAATCACTAGTAAAGGTAAGTTCAATTTACTTTATTGCTTCCTCATTAAACTTTATAAAGTTAAAAACATTATAAACATGCATAAAGTAGAAATAAAAAGATAAATGTACATTCATTTATGTATTTTTTAAAACACCCTCCTTTCTAAAAAATATTCCGCGCTTGCGCGAAAACTGGTGGGCGGTAAGGAAATTTTTCCATCAAGAAAGATGCATTAGTGGGCGGTAAGTGGAAAAAGGTTGACTACCACTGCTCTATCCAATTATAATCCCATTAAATATAGATAAACTGCCTATAGAATGCAGTCCTGTGCATATTGTACTATACCGGTACAGCCAAGGTCCCTCCATCAGGGTTTCTGTAGTGTAGTGGTTATCACGTTCGCCTAACACGCGAAAGGTCCCCGGTTCGAGACCGGGCAGA